AGGTCTCTTTTGAGAAATGCGCTGACAGTCTGATGGGGACTCCTTTATAGGTGACTGTCCCCTTAGCTCTTGCTGCTTCTAGGATTCTCTCCTTCATTTTAATTTTGGCTAATGTAATGATGATGTGCCTTGGTGTGTTCCTTCTTGGGTCCAACTTCTTTGGGACTCTCTGAGCTTCCTGGACTTCCTGGAAGTCTATTTCCTTTGCCAGATTGGGGAAATTCTCCTTTATTATTTGTTCAAATAAGTTTTCCACTGGTGGCTGTGCCTTTCCCCCTTCTGGTACCCCTATAATTCGGATGTTGGAGCGTTTAAAGATGTCCTGGAGGTTCCTAAAACTCTCCTCATTTCTTTGAATTCTTGCTTCTTGACTCTTTTCTGTTTGGCCATTATTTGCTTTCTTCTGGTCCACTCCATTGATTTGAGTCCCAGTTTCCTTTTCATTGCTATTGGTGTCCTGTGCAATTCCATTCATTTCAATTAGTTTTGCCTTCATATATTTGTCTAATTTGTGGCTATAATCAACCAGATCTGTGAGGATCCTGATGACCAGTGTTTTAAACTGTGCGTCTGTGAGTTTTGCTATTTCTTCATCGCTTAGATCTATTGGCTCTGGGGCTCTGAGATCCTCCTGCGCCATTCTTGGTCTGTTCGGGCCCTTTAAGTGTGAGAAGCAGCGCCTTGGATTCCCAGGTCGCTGGGTTGTGACGCTGTATGTGGGGGGCGTGGCCAGAGTGGGGAAATGGCGACCCCCTCTGCCGCTTCTCACAGCTGGGTGCGGAGGAGCAGTGCCTTAGGTGGTTCACCTGGGCCGGGCCACTCAGAGTCGCTGGGTTATGACGCTGTATGTGGAGGTGGGGGTCAGAGCAGGGAAATGGCGGCACCCTCCACTACAGCTTGCCGTGGGGACCTGCCAGGCCCGGTCCAACCGCCCACTCCCTCGCCTGTCCACCCACACACAAATGCTCGACCTCAGTCAACACGCAGCCCCGCTGCCCCACTGTCTCCCCCGTGGTCGCTCGCCTGGTCGCTCACTCGGTCGCTCACTAGGTCCGACCCTGCGCCTGGATTCCGCGCGTGTATGGATTCCGTGCATCTAGATTCCTCGCCTGAGTCCGTCTGGCCGAGTCCTGTGCAACCCCACTCCACCAGCCGCTGGTTTCGCCCCTTACCGGTCGGGCTGAAGAATTTGTTGTTAACGGACTTCCGAAAAGTTCAATTTTCCATGTTCTGGCTGTGTTTTCTGTTGCTAATATTTAGTTGTCTCTAAACTTGGTTGTGTGAGAAGGCACGGCACATCCATCTATGCCTCCATCTTGGCGGAAGTCCTGGTATGAAAATTTTTTTATGAGATCTTAAATAGCAATTTGAGAAAAATTCTATTATTATGTTAACAACCACGTATGTGTTTGTGCAAGAGACATAGGCAATGCTTGCTAATACATAAGGAAGGTCACCTCTGGAGAAGAGACTGGATTTCAAGAGGTAGGATATGAGGTGGGTAGCTGACAATAGAGAGTAACATGCTTTTAAAATTATATTTCTATATTATTTTTATATTTTATAAATAAGTATATATAACTTTTTAAGTTTTAATAATTAAACAAATTAGAAAGTACAGAAAAGCAAGAATAATTACATACATTCTACCTACACAGTGACCACTATTATTACATCTCTAGATTTCTAAGAATATATACTTACATGAAATGTGCTTTTTTATGGATGTATACTAAAATACTTGGATAGACAGATATATACTACACAAAAATTAGACCTTAAGAAAATGGCAGGATCATGTGAACATATTTCCATATTTTTAGAGATATTTCTACAACTTTATTTTTAGAGCATCAGCCTAAATATGCTGATTTCCCTTTGGGTTGTCATTACACATAAAAATAATGTAATGGATAAATGAAGCAACTCTAGCTTTATATCTAATCCAAATAACTTTGGTTGTAGACATTGAGGAATCATATATTTGTTTTACCTAACTGAATTAGTTAAATAACTGTTCTCAAGCCGTAATAAATCATGAAAACTGCTTTCAGTAAGGGGTTCATGTACTTCCTCTCTGGTTATTTTGACCAATGTAACTTTGCAAGATGTGTACTTTCATAGACATTTCAGAAATGGTTATTTAAATGAACTAGTCCTGACTTATTTTCCAGAGCTTCAAAAAGGACTATAAATATCCTGAATCACTAGACGTATTATCCACCGTTGGATGTGCGCTGTCCATCTCTGGCCTGGCTCTCACGATTATATTTCAGGTTGTCACCAGGTAAGAAGGGAGGCTGGTGCTCCTCATGAGAGAAATTGCTATCCTTTTGATTTCCTCTGAGCATATTCTCCTCAGAATATAGTTTCTTGAAACAACAAGGGAAGTCAGATTTAGTTCAACAGGTTCATTTTTAAAGAAGACAGGCCTGGAGAGGCTAAGAAATACACACGAGTAAATATATGATTAAAAACGTAAATGCCTTGAAAGAAAATTACATACCATGTAATTACAAGTTTGCCATGTTAGCATGGTCTGGTAGCTCGTCAATGCCACAGTTCTTTTTTTGTTGAGTAGAAACATAATTACCAATTTGCATTTGTAAAAGAAAGAAATATTGCTAAGCAGCCAAGTTTTCAAAAATAAAAGTAATTTAAAAATATACTTAGTTTTCAAATGATGAAACTTTTAAAAGTTTTTGAATTTCATACTTAAAAAAAATCTATTACAGATGACCTATAAATACACATTTCTTCCACCTTGGCCCCCTCACTCAAGGTTCAATTTTGTGTAGCACTATTATTTTCCGTCACGTGCTACATTTTCAATAATTTGCAAATGTAAGCCTGATTATTTTTAGTTTACTTGTGGACTATTTTCCCCGTCAGCATGAACATTGATGAGGGCAGCGACCTCTGATTTTGTTGGCTCTGTTGGTTTGGTTTTGTTTTGGCCACTGTACCCCTAGGCCGACCACCATCTGCAGCTCACAGCAGAGGAGTGTGTGTGTAATGAATGGGCCTGTTGGGTCGTCCCGGTGGCTTCTCGTCTGTCACTTGAGATACCTCTAAATGAATTCATCTTTCCTTCAGAAGTATTTCTCTCTACTAAATTCTTTCACAACTTTTTTCTCAGATATGTATATGTTTACAATTTTTTTATTTTAAAAAATTTAAACAATGCTGTTTAAATTTTTTCCTGAAGTTTTCTTTGAAAAAAGCCTATGGAAAAGTTGAAAGAGAGCACTGAACACCTGTATATCCTTCACCTATATTCACCAGTGATTAATATTTTGCTTTTTCCATTTTTCCCCTGAAATTCTGAAAGTAAGTTGTAGGAATCGTGACTATCATCCCTAAATTCTTGGAGCATGTACATCCTATGAACAAGGGCATTCTCCTACATGGTACAGTATTGTTATTCTCACTCAGGAAATTTAACCCAAGAAATTTAACACTAATATGCTGTTATTGTGTTAATCCATAATCCACATTCAAATTTCTTCCAATCGTCCCAGTAATATCTGTTATAGCTGTTCTTCCTCCTCAATTTATTTAGTTGTCATGTCTGTTTAGTCTTCTTTAGCCTAGAATAATACCTTTGCTATTTTTGTTTGTTTGTTTTGGTCTTTCATGACATTAATACTTTTGAGGAATTCAGATTAGTTATTTTGTAGGAAGTAGGATATTCTACAGTTTAGGGTTTGTCTGGAATTTTTTCTCATGATCAGATACAGGTTAAAAATATTTTGTGAGGATACTTCAGCCTCTCAGTGTGACACACAGAAGTATACGATGTCAGTTTGTCCTGTTATTGGTTAAGTTTGATTCCTTGTTTAAAGTCGTGCCTGCAAGATTTCTACATGGTGAAGGTGCATTTTGTCCCTTCGTAAATAATAGGTAGTCCATGGGGCGATACTCTGAGACCGTGACTGTTGAGTTCCCCAACTTTCACAGTGGTTTTGGTGTCCTTACTGGAATATATCACTATGCTGGTGGTGGAAAATAACAATTTTCTAACCTATCATGCTACATTTAGTCACTGTATCCCTCTGTAAAAAGTACAGCCTCTGATGTGCCCAGAGGGAGTCCCTTCACGTTGCTTGATCACATCCAGCGCAGTCTTCAAGCACTTCCTTTTTTCAGGCACAGGACTTTCTCTGCCCCACACTTGGAGTCAGTCATTTTTCCAAAGAACTAGAATTCTTTTTGATTCCTCTTCTTTATCTTTCACACTCCAGTCTCTTGCCATTCATTTAAAATTTTTATCTGGAGTGCTTCCTCTGGGCCAAGCGCACATATGAACAATACGGGCAAGCTCCCATCTCTCATGGTATTTACATTCCCAGGGGGAAGATAAACATTATATAAAAATATACAGACACTTTATATATAATTACTGATTGTGGTAAGTGCCTTGAAGAAATTACATGGCATGTAATTACAAGTCTGTCACACAAAAAGAAATGGCTCTTAAAATTGTCTTTTCATTTGTTTTTCTACCATCACCACACTGGAGCAATTACATGATCCTATGGGAAAAGTGGTAACAGCATAACTAGTTTCTTTGCCTAAATTCTCACTCCTTTGAATTGTCCTCAGATTTTTTTTTTTTTGCATCCTCTGTCAATGAATTTCTGAGCAGAAGTGTTGCTAGAGGTGTCACTAAAAACTTACCAGGAAAGAAAAACAAAAATGAAAACAAAATTGTGTTGATTTTAAAATCCTGAATCAAATAGTTTTCTTTGTTCATGGGCAGGTTTCCATATAAAAATAATACATATATTTTTATTACATATCATATGTATTATATATTTGTGCATAATAATATACAGAAAGATAAAAATGAAATAAACCTTTTTTCTGTGGATTATAATTTATGTTTGAAATTGGAGAAAAATTAGAAAGTAACTTTATTATACATAAAAGGATCCTTCTGAGTATTTTGTGCAGTTCTTAACTAAATCTCAACTGAAATATCAAGAGAATGGACAGAGTTCTGTTTAAATATAAGCTTTTTATTCACCATGGAAATCCAAAGACTGAGAAAGATCATGATGGAATGCTATAAAATCATAAAGGACGTATAATCAGCAAACGGACTCATCAAATTCTGGGACATTAAAAATAGAAAGGTAGTTGAAGATGTTAGAACTTTAAGCACAGTGTAAACTTAGGGAAGTGGTTATTCCAGGAGGCCTTGTAGTCTGAAAAATCTAGAAGGATTTAGATGACAGTGAATGGAGATTTTATAATTTATAACTTTCATTAATATAGGACTGTATGCCATAGTCTACAGGAAACGGTAATGTCAGTAAAGGGGAGTGAAGGATATATCTGCCCTTAAACATTAAGGAAAACATGACATGCACAGTAAAAAGAAAGTCAGATCTCACATGTGAGATCAGTTTTACCCAGAACAACCTCGAATTCTCTGCCAATCTCAAAATACACACACAGGCCACCACAGAGTTCTCTCCTGCCCCTGCTCCCCAACTCATCTCTCATCCCACTGCCTTCTGAAGACTGCTGTTGAACACCACCAGCCTGCAGACAAAATGAGTAAGGCGTTTTTTGAGCAAAATCTTGGGTAAACAAGAGAAGAAGGGAAAAAACACATTTTAAAGAGCACTTGGGTCCATATCCAGAATTGTACCTTCCAATGACGGGACAGCGCTTGGCCATGTTTGAGATTAAAAGGTCCGTTCAGACCCTCTTGACTGTTGGCCGTCAGCCAGTGCTTCCCAAAGTCTGGTCCTTGTAGCTCCAGCCCTTGGGAGATACTCCATGGATACAGGGCTCCAGCAGGTCTTAAAGGAAAGATGCATGTGAAACTTTGTTGCCTATAAGTCATTTACAGGGGTAGTAATCCTTAGTCTATTCAAGTTTGAAGAATATCACTAGTAGCAATAGGCTGTTAAACAAATTTTAAATATTATTACGTACTTTAAAATGTTTATGGGAGCCTCAAATGCAATGTAAGCTAAACCTTATACCATCTTGTTAGTTTAAAAGTAATACGTTTAATATTACTTAAAATTTTAAAGTTAGTTAAAATTATATCGGGCCTTATTCTTTTAAAGTTTATACATGAAGTTTAAAATACTTTTAAAATACTCAAGAGACTTTCTCTACATTTGCACATGGATTCATCTGCTAACATGCACTAGTTTTCTATTTTGAAAATTTGAAAAATCCTTTTAGAACCTTTCTGTATATAGTTTTTGTATGTGCTTGAAAATCGAGAGAAGTTACAGTCTAGTGTGGTATTAAAAACTACCCTAAAACTTAGTGTCTTGAAACAACAATTTATTATCGCCAATGATTCTTCGGCTCCACTGGGCCCAGCTGGACGGCTCCTCCAAAGGTCTCCCTTCGCATCTCCCATGAGACCGCAGTCACGGGGTGGCTGGGGTCAGAGCCATCTGGAGGTTTGCTGCGAGGCTGCCACAGCAGGGTCGTTCTACACAGCATCGGGGCATTTCCATGAGGTTCTTTTGAGGGTAGTGGGACTTTTTATGTGGTGGCTCAGAGCTCCCAGGAGCACTGACGGGAAAACTTGTGATGACTTTCACGTGTCCTAGGCACTTTTACCTTTGCGAGGCTCTCCTCCATCAAAGGGACAAAAATTATATTTTATGACAGCATTGGTATAAAGATGAATATATTAATATTATATGCTAAATATTTTCTTTGACCGAAAAGTTCTTTTTTGTTTGTTTTCTTTTGGTTGAAAAGGAGTTAGAACATTGCTGTGGTCAGAAAAGTGTTGTGGGCTCTAAGCACTACGGTATCTGATGGCCAAGTTGGCCCTGTCTCCTGAGGCTTCTGTTGGTTAAGTGAAGTCACAGGAGCCCTGGGAGGTGAATATGCAGGGTGTAAAAATTGGGAAGTAGAATTTACTGGGGGCCATCTCTGGAGAGTAGCTATCACCTTGGATTAGAACACAGTTTCAAGAAAGGATATATCAACCTATTTTCTAACTCACTTCATTGTGCAAATGACATAAGAGAGGAGCATAATTTTCAGGTGTTGCTGGGAGGGTAGATTTACCAGGTGGCCCACAGGCTATTAGCTGAATTTACATGGGATAATAATAACGCTTCATTCCCTCACAATTTCACTTGAGTTTATGCTTTGCAGTTATTTTGTTTATTTATTTAATTACATTTACTTATTTCTATTCAGGAGAGTCAGAAAAACCTCAGTAACCTGGGTGTTGGTCAGTCTGTGCACATCAATGTTGATTTTCAACCTCCTCTTTGTGTTTGGAATTGAAAACTCCAACAAGAACTTGAGTACCAGTGAGACCCAAACTACTGGTTCTAGTAGTAACGAAAAGCCCCAAACAGACACGGTGGAGCCTGTGAATCCCACGTGCACAGCGGTCGCTGCCTTGCTACACTACTTCCTGCTGGTGACGTTTACCTGGAGTGGACTCAACGCCGCACAGCTCTATTACCTTCTCATCAGGACCATGAAGCCTCTCCCTCAGCACTTCACTCTTTTCATCTCCTTAATTGGATGGGGTAAGTGTTTGCTTTTCTACTTACTCAGGAATTTAATTTTGTTGAGATCATTTAATTTAAACAAATGGCTACAGAAGGCCTAATAGTACAAGGACTTGAAGTAGCGGGGGATGGAAAATCCAGAAACCAGTAAAAGTGCCTTCCTGCTGGTGGCTCATACTCCTGCAGAGGCAGATGGGTCGAGGCAGCTCTACACGATATGTTATCAGCTGACTTCAAGATGTTAATGTTCTTTGGCATCTCTATTAATTTGATTTGAGATTTAGACCACAAAAAACTTTCTAGCTACTTTATTTATTTATTGTTTGGGGGGAGGGTGCCACAGAATTTTATTTAAAAATTTATTTTGAGAAATATTTTATTGTTTATGCTACTGCAATTGTCCCAGTTTTCCCCACTTTGTCCGCCCTCCCCCCAGCCCTTCCCCCTGCAATCCCACAGGCGGTCCCACACCGTTGTCCGTGTCCACAGGCCATTCACACGTGTTCTTTGGCTGCCCTCTTCACCTTCTTTCCACCAGGCCCCATCTCCACCATCACTTCTTACAGCCGTCTGTCTGTTCCACACCTTTATGCCTCTGATTCTGTTTTGCTTACTAGTTTATTTTGTTCATTAGATTCTACTTATAAGGGAAATCATATGGTATTTTTTTCTAACTGGCTTATTTCACTTAGCATAATGCTCTCTAGTTTCATCCGTGCTGTTACAAAGGATAGCAATTCCTTCTTTTTTACAGCCTGGTGGTAATACATTGTGTAAATATACTACAGCTTTTTTATCCACTCATCTACTGATGGGCCTGTTTCCAAATCTTTGCTATTGTAAATAATGCTGCTATGAACATAGAAGTGCATATATTCTTTTGAATTGGTGTTTCAGGATTCTTAGGATACATTCCCACAAGTAGAATTACTGGGTCAAAAGGCATTTCCACTTTTAATTTTTTGAGAAAACTCCACACTGCTTTCCACAGTGGCTGCACCAATCTGCATTCCCACCAACAGTGCAATAGTGTTCCCTTTTCTCCACATCCTTGCCAACACTTGTTGTTTATTGATTTATTAATGATAGCCATTTTTGGCACATGTGAGGTGATATCTCATTGTGGTTTTAATTTGCATCTCTCTGATGGCTAGTGATGTTGGGCATTTCTTAATATGTCCATGGACCATCTGTATGTCCTCCTTGGAGAAGTGTCTATTCAGGTTTTTTGCCCATTTTTAAATTGGATTGTTTGTCTTCCTGGTGTTGAGTCATACAAGCTCTTTATATATTTTGGAGATCAAACCCTTGTTTGATGTATTATTGGAAAATATTTTCTCCCATACAGTGGGTTCCCTTTTACATTTTGATGATGATTTCTTTAGCTATGCAGAAGCTTTTAATTTGCTATTGTCTCATTTGTTAATTTTTTCCTTTGTTTCCCTTGCCCTAAAAGATATATCAGCAAAAATATTGCTATGTGAGATATCTGAAATTTTACTATGTCTTCCTCTAGGATTGTAATGTTATCATGATTTATAGTTAAGTCTTTTATCCATTTTGAGTTTCTTCTGGTATATGGTGTAAGTTGGTGGTCTAGTTTCATTTTTCTGCACATATTTGTCCAATTTTCTCAATACCATTTATTAAAGAAAATGGCTTTACTCCATTGAATGCTTTTGCTTCCTTTGTCAAATATTAATTGATCATAAAGGTGTGGATTTATTTCTGGGTTCTGTTCTGTTCCATTGATCTATGTCTGTTCTTATGCTAGCACTAGACTATTTTGATTACAGGGACCTTGCAATATAGTTTGATACCAGGTACTGTGATCCCTCCAACTTTGTTCTTCTTTCTCAAGATAGCTGAGGCTATTCAAGGTCTTTTTGGTTCCATATAAATTTTTGGAATATTTGTTCTAGATCTGTGAAATATGCCATTGGTATTTTAATAGGAATCGCACTGAATCTATAAATTGCTTTGGGTTGTATGGACATTTTGATGATATTAATTCTTCCAATCCATATGTTTCCATTTGTTTGTGTCTTCTTCAATGTCTTATAGTTTTCCAGGTAGATGGCTTTTACCTCCATGGTTAAATTTGTTCCTAGGTACATTATTTTTTTGTTGCAACAGTAAATGGTATTGTTTTCTTAGTTCCCTTTCTGATATAATTCATTATGGGTGTATAAAATTGCTATCGATTTCCGAGTATTGATTTTGTACCATCAAGTTTGCCATTTTTAGCCACATCAATAACCAACTTTAAAAGAAATGCTATATAAAGACAACTAGAGCAACTCTTTAAGAAAAATAATTTGAAAACTGTTAACCTAAATCTCAAGGATCATTTAATATGTTGTCTATAGTGGAAAGAACAATACATTCTGAAAAGGGTCAGTTGTATAATTCATTCATGGTCTTTTATAATTAATCCCAGTCTTGGGTAAATTATTAATTCAGCGTCTCCCTTTATCACCTAGGAGTCCCGGCTGTCGTGGTGGCTGTGACAGTGGGAATCATTTTTTCTCAGAACCCGGTCTCAGAGTGGGAATTAAAATATCGGCAAGAAGAGATGTGAGTTTAGCAGGGAGGAGTGGGGCGGGGGCCCGAGGTGGGGTGAAAGCGAAGATGACTGCACTTGAATAACTATAAAAAAAAAGATTTCCTTTTAAAATTGAAAAAAAAGAAATATGAGCTTATATTTTTTAATGTTCATTATTTATAATTTAAGTATCAGTGATGTTGAGTCCAAGTGTCACTGTACATAGGCACCTTACTTTATAATTGTCATACTCCAAGTGGGTGTTTCAAATTTTCAAAGAACACTTTACATTTTCAATATGATGACATGAAAATTTCCTATGATAAATCCTTTGGTAAAGCAAGTATTTACCTTCTAAATTTATAAATTTGAACTTTTTAATTAAATTTAATTTTTATTAAGTCTGAAAAATTATAGGACAAAGTAAGTATAATCCTTAGTAATTTTTTTTTAGTTTTCTCATCTAGTAATGGGAATAACAATAATAGTAATAGACCTGCTCAGGGGTTACTGTGAGGGATGTCAAACAGATGTGAAAACATTTCATATCTTGAAGAGCACTATCCATGCTTGTGAGCCAAATCTATGTTTGTATGATTATAATGAAGATTCCACGATGATTTACTGCACATAACACATTCTCCCTGTGACTCCAGCCTGAATAACTAACTAACTGTTAATGGAAGCACCTGACTGTATGGTGTTTGCTTTTTACGTGGGGAGGAAGAGAAGAAAGTTGAGCTAAACTTTTTAC